ATCCAGGAGATCTGGGCCAGCTGCAGAGAGGAAGCAGGGATGACTGTGACCGTAATTTAGGACTGGACATCTAACCAGTGGTGTTTGATAGGCTGTGTGGATGGACAGGTTGGTCAGCCACGGCAGCCTGGATGGAGCAGCTTCAGAGTCTGAGTCCTGGGTTTCTGTCCCCACCTGGAAAGAGACCTTGGGCTAGCGACTTAACCTTCCCAAGCTTCAGTTCCCTTGTCTGCAACACAGGCTCAGCCTGGTGTGGAGGTGGGTGCTCGACGCATCAGTTTGGTTACTACCGGCGGCCACCCAAGCAGATTAGTGCATTGTCACTTTCTTGGTGAGGCCGAAGTTTCTCCGTAAGTGAACAAACTGGTCATCTGGTATATTGGGTTGAATGGTGCCCCCCCCCCCGAAATTCAGGTCCACCTAGAACCTCATATGTGACATTTTTTGGAAATAAGGTCTTTGCCCCTGTAATTAGTTAAGGATCTTAAGATGAAATAATTTTGGATTTAGGGTAAGCCCTAAATCCAACAACAGGCATCCTCATAAGATGAAAAGACACCGAGACACACAGGGAGAAGGCCACGTGACTACAGATGTAGAGCCTGGAGCGATGCAAGCCAAGAATGGTGGGGCCACCAGAGCTGGAAGAGGCAGGAAGGGTCCTCCCCTAGGGCCTCTGGAGGGAGTGTGACCCTGTGGAGACCTGGATTTTGGACTTCTGGTTTCCAGAACTGTGAAAGTAAGTTTCTGTTGTTTCAAGCCCCCAAGTCTGTGATAATGTTATGCTGGCCCTATGAAATGAATGCACCTGCCTCTGCCATCAGTTATGTGTTCATGAGCCTGCCCCTCGGATGTGGGTCCACTCTTGACCATGGGCACACTGGGCTGCGTCTGCAGCGCTGAGTGCTGCCAGCTGGAAGCCACTCAGGTGAACAAGACTCTGGAATAGGGCTGGGCCACCAGCTGCCGTCTAGCTGCACGTCTTTTTGTTTTTATGATGTAGTATTTCAGGCAGACAACAAAAGCACAGGGAATAGAACAAACACTGCGTTATCTTTCCCGCGGCCAGAGCAACACTGCAACTATTGATTCATGGTTGTGTTTATTCTTATATTTAAGAGAGAGTGTCCGCTGCTTTCTGTTTTATTGAAAGGACAGTACACTGCTTTATAATCCTGAAAGTCCCCCAGAGCTGCCGGCTTGGGAAGCTGCCGTTTTGCTCACTACCCTGCATTTTTGCTGTAGGTGGTGAGGTTTCTGGGTTCCGTCATTTTCACTTAACAGCAAACATTTTCCCTTGTTTAAAGCTGGTGTTTATATTTACACTCATTTTCAGTCCCTTTTTCTTTTTATGCTAGGTGGGATTTTTGTTTTAAGCTACAGGAGTCATAGCTGCTTGTGGAAACAAGTAACACCACACAGAGATACTCAAAGAAAATGCCCCAAGTCCCCAGTGTGACGGAGGTTAACAGTTCGGCAGCATCTCCCCATCCCCCACCAGGAGGGGAGGAGCATTGTGGCTTCCGCCCCGAACCCAACTCTCAAGGTGTGCAGTGCTCCAGAGAGCTGTCTGAGCCGTCTGCAGCTCCCATTTTCCCGGGGGGCGCACCCCTCCCCGGAAGGGGATCTGGGGCGGCGGAGGTGGGGGACAGTCTCTTCACCTCCCACACTTCCTGCAGGACTGGAGGGTGCCCCGGAGGACTCTGGGGGTGATGTCAGCACCAATGCGGGAGGCCTGGCGCAGAGGGGAGGCGACCGCGGCGCGCACCCAAGGACGCAGGCCGAACCCAGCCCGCGGAGGCTGGGGCGGGGCGGGGTACACACACGCGGTTGGAGGGGTTCTGGCAGGACTTCAGAGGACGCCGGAGGCCACCGCTCCGCGGGGAAGCGGGAGTGGCCGGAGGCGCACGACCAGCTCCGTTTACGGAAGATACCCGCAACTACCGGGGCGGACCTGCGGGGACCCCTCCCCCGCTGTCTCCCCGCCCTCGCTCGAGCCTCAGAATCTGGGCTTCACTGTCTCGCCGCATCCAGGGATCCGCCTTGTAGCGCGGCGCCTAGCTCTCCCACCCCCGACTCCAATCCGAGTGTTTCGAGGGTGTAGGCTACGGCATGCACCTCGGTTTCCCACTGCGGAGAGCGCACACGGGGCTGAGGTGCCTGCTGAAGCCTTGGTTGGCCTACTTTAGCATTTTCTAGTTGGCCGTCAATATTTGAAAATTATGAGATTTTACGAGTAAATCCACATTGCTGCTCTTGTTGGAAAACCAGACCGTCCGCCCACGCTGGGCTCAAGGCGCCCCGGATTCACGGTCCCCCACCCCAGGTTTGTCCCACCCCTTCCCTGCTTTTCGGAGCCTAAAATTCAGGTGCGAAATTCCGGTTCTTTCTTTGTAGGGTTTCCCCCGTCACTATCCCCCGGGGAGGCCGCTTTCCGGGCTCCAATCCCCACGCTCGTGGTCTAGCACCCGCCCCGCTGAGATGGGCCTGCGGGGCCGGCGGCTCTTTTGTTGAGGCGGCTGGGAAAGAGCAGTTACGTGTCAGCGGCTCCCCCCATTGTGCTGAGGTCTGCGCGCCCGCGGCGCTGCCCCTGCAGCTGGAGCCCGACCTGCGGTCCCGCGCAGCCGGCGAGGCTGGGGCCAAGGGCATTTCTCTCCCCTAGGGAGATCCCAGAATGCCTTCTTTTGGTGAAACAAAACAAAACAAAACAGAAAACGCACAAGAAGAGAACTTTACCAGAACAATTTCTATAGAGAAGGTGCTCGTAGGGCTGTTTTAGGTAACTTACTTCGTCGAAAGGACAGAACGGGGACTCAGGCACCGAGAAGGAGCTCCGGGCTGGAGGGCTCCCTACGGGGGCTGCTGGTCCCGGCCGGCGCGGCCGCCTCACCCAGTAATTTACAGTCACAAGTGTCCCGGGGCCGAGCAGCCGGATGGAGTGAGTCACCCCGGCGCGGCTTCGGGCGTCCTCGGGCGCCGACACCCCCCGCCCCCGCCCCCCCAAGCAACGGCACTGACTGCGCGAGACGCCGGCTCTCGGACCGACCGGGGAGTCGAGCCGGAGGGCAGGCCCGCGCCCGCCCCACCCAGTGCGCCGAGCTCTGGGGCCCGCGTCCGCCAGGCAGTAATGGCG